AGTTCTATTAAGGGTCGAATAATTTTTATTTGAAAAATTGAGGGCATTTTAGAAAAATATTAGATAGATGGATTTATTTTATAAGAAATTTATATTATCTAGTCATAATCTTGATCCATATGAAAAATGTTTTAGTGACGAATTTAAAAATGTTTGGCTGGAAAAAAGACTAATTTAATGATGTCATCAATTTTTTCGGGGCCAAATAATGATGTCACCAGTTGTGATCATTACACATGACGTCCCAGAATATAATAAAGTTTGGTCTATCATTAAAAACATGAGTTAAATTACATTTTTTTTTATATTTTCTTTCAATGAATGCTAGACACTTTATATTAAAAAAATAACATATTTTTCATACTAAATTATTTTTCTGTTAGTAATTTATTAACTCAGTTATTTATATTAACATGATATGTTCTTTGATATTAATTTATTCTTAAACTCTTTTTCTAAAGATATTGGATATTTTAAAGTATTGTTAAAATAAAATTTAATAAATATTATTAAAATATTTAATATTTATCAAAAAATTATCTTTTAAGAAATTAATATTAATCAAGTCTCTTAGATTTTATAGGTCATTTTCTATAATTTTTTTGGCTAACTAATAATTAAATTAATAAATATTTAAAAGTAAAGTATCATTTGTTTTTAATTGATATTTTTATGTTTCCAATTTTATAATTGAGAAAACAAATTGAAAATTCAATAATATAATATTAATCTTATTTCTTCATTTGTTGACTCATTCCCTCCTTTTTAATATAAAGTTACAAAATATTACAATATTAAATTTAGATAGTGTAACATTTTGAAGGAACATCATTAGTTGGACAAAAAATTCACATAAAATGACTTAAAATATTTAAAGAATTTAATCAATGTTAATTTTTTTATAAGGTCATTTTCTATAATTTATTTAAATTTTTTTATTCTTACTAAGGTTAAAATACATTTTTTCTCATGTATTTTCTTTCAAGGAAAGCTGAATAATATGTATTAATAAGTGAGGCTTTTTTCTCCTTAACATTTTTTAAAGAACAAAAATTTCCACTGTTAATGGATCACACTAATGTCGATAGATTTTTACTCTTTTAAAAAATAATTTAAAAAAAAACTTACTTATTAATACAAGACATCCAATGATCTTCAAGGGGGGACAAAAAAAGGCACTTTGACCTTATAATAATAATAATAAGTTAGCCGCGTAGGAAGATGAAAGTTGCATTCACATCATTGGGAACAAAAGACAACGAATTTCTTATGCCTGGCAGCCTGGGCAACATTGTAGGAGTCAACATAATTATAATTATAATTATATATAAACATCCTAATTATAATTATAATTTTTATATGAATCATTATATCTCATGAATTTAAGTTGTTACTCCATTCATTTAATAATATATGTCATCTTTTAAAAATCTTACTTGATATAAAATATAGAATATTAAGTAATTTTTATAATTATTTCCTCAATTATATCCCTACATCATTTATTATTTTTTTTTAAAAAAATGATGTATTAAATTTTTAATTATCATTATCAAAATACTTATACAGGATATTTAATAAGAGTAAAATTAAAAAAAATTAAAAAAAATTAACGTTTCAGCTAACGCATGATAATTAAAAATTAGTTATCAATACCTTATACTTTGATCATGAAAAAGTAAATATTGAGCATTCATGTATGTTAAATACATTCATGAATCTTTAATCTTGAGAAATGCATATCATTATTCCTCTGATACATTACATACATGTTTCAAACAATTTTTTTACACGGTATAAGAGAAGTTGTTAGATTACTTTATTTGTTCAGAAATTAAAGTCATCCTAATATTTTAATTATGCTATGACTAATTAAAGAAAACATCATCATACCTTGCTCAATTTACAAGAAAGTTATTACAATTATAGGAGTAAAAATAGAACATTATTTGAAATTCTAACTGAGCATCTTATGCTAGTATATTAATATAAGGGCTGGAGGAAGTATATTAGCATAGATACAATATAATCCATATGTATATTTAATGATTGGATGCATGTAAATAAAGGCTATCTCAAATTACACACATATATGAATCAAAGTGAATGAAAATATTTCTCCTCCTATCCATTTTATCCTTTTTAAAATTTGAGATAATAATGATAAATAAGGACCTTTGAAAATATCAAGACCTTTTAGAACTAAAATTTTAAGAATTTACTACTCAAATGTCTTTATTTTAGATTAATTTCCTCCCAACGTCTTTAATTGTCATTGTCATTTTTCCTTGAAATTTTCCCATGCCCTCATCATACATGTTGCTTGTATTTTCATTAGGTTAATAATAATAAGATTGGTCTATAAACATTTGTGTGTGTAATATATATATATATATATATATATTGAAGAAATTTGCTGGGTGAGGAGCGAATGTTGAGTTCACATCGTTGGTAACAAAAGAAAGTGGATTTTCTTATAACAGAACACAGCGTGTACATGTATATATGGAATAACTATTAAAAAAATAGAATAAACATTTGAAAAAAAAAAAACTAAATCCGTTAAACTCAACCAATTAACAATAAAGGAAGGCTGCGCCACCATGTTATATGTGTAACGTATGGATTGAGATATCAGATAAGATCGCTCAATTTCCTTTTGAAACTGAATCGATGAAGTGCCTTAATTAATTTATTATTTAACAGTAATGCATGCATTTAATTACGTCCAATATGTGAAAGGAAGAATTGGAATCATTGAGACTAACTCTAAACTGCGGCGTCATTGTTTTTTGTTTTTTGTTTTTTTGTCTTGAACGCATGTGTATGTGTTGTACAGTGTCAACCATCTTGAAGATGATTTAGGCCCCATTTGGTAGCTTAAAATCATGGAGAAAAAATGGAATTGGACATGAAATCTGCTAATATGTGTGTTTGGTATGCAATAATTATGATTCTTTGGAATTTGAATTCAAGAAAATTTGGCAGAATCTAATTCCATCACATATATCATGGAATTCGATTTCATAATTTCCTTTCTCCAATCTACCCCTTCTCTCTCCTCCAATATAATTTTTTTTAATTTTAAAAATGACACTTTAGTCTTTTCTTTATTTAAATACTTATATTTTATTAAAATTATATCAGGATTTCATCATCATATCAAACACACTTTTAAATCCAATTTTATTTCAATTTCAATTCCAATTCGATTCCAATTCCGATTTTGATTCCATTAAAAACTCTTCTATCGTACCAAACATGGCCTTAGTTATTATAATTGAATTGAATATGTTTTGGTTGTCTGGAATATTTAGATTACAATTAAACAATTTAAATTTAATATTCGTCGAAAAGGAAACTCCATAATTGTGATGCTTTAATATTCAGTTTGGTTTGATTTATGAAATTGCATCTGGTTGTTGTGGAATTAGTCCTTGTCTTATCCAAGTATCAGATCTTACTTCCAGGTTTCTATCTACTAAGAGAAAGAAATTAAATTTTAAATACATATAACACGTGTTTCTCAATGCAGAATCGCAAAATCATTTCCTCACTATTTATTTGATATTTATTATATAGATAAATGTCGTCTCTCATAAGTTGTTAGTTCTTGAGATGAATGTTCCTTTAATTTCGAACTTGAATCCCTCCATCATAATGCAAAATTGATTTCTTCTTTGTTGAGATCTATGTGTTTCAAGGAACATTTTTCTTTTTTTTTATTATAAAATATTTAAGTGAATTGGTTTCTAGCCTTACTAAGGCCAAAAAATATTTTCAGATTCAAAAAACTCTTACAGAGCTATTTGCATATTGTCCACTAGTAATATCATTAAATCAATAATGAGATTTAAATTTATGATCTTATAAGTTATAAATTAAATTTTGGATAAATTGACCCACTAATCAAAAAAATTTTATACTCATAAAACATGGATCAAAATTTTTGAAATTTTGAGAGTATGAATGATTGATATTAATATACAATGAGTTTATCATTAAAAATTTAAAAATTTATGAGGAGTTTATCATTAATATATAATAGTATATCATTAACAATTATAATAAATCAGTCATAATATAAAATATAATACATGTTAGGTTGTTTATTTAATTTGATTCTAAAATATAGGTTATATCTAAAAAACTTCTTAAATTTTTACTTATTAAACTAACCTTTGTTATTTCAAGAAAAAAATTTAATGAAAACATGTTGGATGTCAGAGATCATCGTTAAGCTTATCTTTAGGTTTAAAGAGTGAATTTTTCAGCTTCCTCTTTGTAATGTTGGTGATGGTAGCTGGTGGGTTAAAAAGCTAAAAAATAATAATAATGAAAAAAATTAACAAAACTACCCCTAAGGCTAATAGCTTGTTTGAGATAATATTTGAAGCCCTCAAAAAACACTCACCAAACTGGTAAAACGTGGTTTCGAATCATGATTTGCCCCGGTTCTAAACACATGCTAAGCCAATTTTTTAGTGTTTTTGTTTTTGGGCCAAACAAAGTTTTAGTGTCAGAAATCGATAATCCTACTATGATAGCAGCCAAGTTATATTTTCAGTTCCTAGTCCTCCTTTTCTTTTCTTTTAATATAAAGGCTCCAAAATCCAAATACAATAATATCATATATTCTTTGCTATTATTTTTCTATGTATTTTATTAATTTCATTTTTTATATTTTTTATTTTTCTAAGTTTGTAGTTAAAAAGAATCTTCGTTTACATTATATTCCTTTTAAAAAATTTAAAACTTGAAAAAATATATATCCTTAAATTTGACGATTTAAATTTTTCAAGACACAAGAAACATCACACGTGCTCTAAATATTTTCTATTGGCAAAAAAATCCAACTTCCAACAATAATGCAGCAACCCTCCACCAATTGATCATATAATAGACTCTTTTTTTAAAAAAAAAAAAATTGTTACAAAGGACGCAAGTGAAAGAGTCTCCTATTGAACTACGGATGAAACTAGTCTATTACCAAGTGAAACTAGGAATTTCTGCCACAAATAACCCATACAAATAAATGCAGTTTATGTGACAAACAAATACAGAGAAACAGAGCTCCAAAATGGAGATTTCATGATTTCATATACTGTCCAAGAAAATGTCAAAATTTAGAGTAACCAAAGAAAAACTGGCTTCTCAATTACAACCCAACCCTATGAACATTTGGAGGACTGACCAAGATATGTGAAGAATCGCAAATGGCTCTAAAGAAAACTGTTGCCAATTGCCATTGTTACCATGGTTTCAAGTCACCCACAGGACCAGCAGTCCAATTCAGAATCTTCTCCCCGGCTTTCAAGTATATCCTCTTGTCATGTGGCAGCTTACGAGCAAGCCCATTTAGAACTTGATGGAATGCATCGCCTGGTTGAGCAGGTTGAGGGAATAACATGGCTTGTTTCATTGAAGGGTTAGCAAGCAATCTCTGCTTTCTAAGTATTATTTCCGGGGGAATAGATGTGAGTATGGTATCCAACTTAGGGACATCTTCCTCGTCAACAAACACGCCAATCTCTTCCCATGGGATTGCGTCAGCAAAGGGTAGAACAATATCATCTGCAATGATGACGGGGATGCAACCAAATATTACAGCTTCAACCAATCTTGGGCTCCAAGGAGCCCAGCCAAGTGGACACAAACAAAACACGGCTCGCTGCATGTCCTCATAGTATGTGGTTGGATGCTCGGTGGAAATGTCAAAAAGTGGATTGTCCTTGAAGTTCTCCCATACTGCTGCTCTTGCACCTCTGTAGATTTGTAATAAAACTATAGGAGTTAATTCTGTTTCTTGCAGATTCAATAGAGGAATTCAAGACAGCCTTCTAACGAAAATATAGGAAAACAAACGGAAACCAACACACAACTTAACACTCTTTTCATACTGAAACTTGTAATAAGACCTACCTTGCATAGTAACCACCTTCAGGGTCATTCCCAACATCATAGAACAGTCCTCGAAAGTAAACATAAATGGACCTAGGAATCTTTTCAGAAATCAGGTGGGTGTGCATTTTCTGTGGAGGAGCATAGGGAGGAATGGTGACTGATCCCTCCTTCAGGCACACATGATTCTTTTGTCCAAATGTCTGAACTAGGGTTGCACGCTGAAGCAATGGAAGAATTCCTCTTTCAATTGCCTTCTCTTCCTGGAACAAAATAGCATGATTTAAAAGCACATTACTAGATTCATCATCTACGGCAGAAATAATGAAATCTATAAGAACCCAAAATCTGTTGACAAGCTCAGAGGCATTTGATAGTAATACAGATAGAATGATCATGATATTCCCAGTTTCTTACTTGATAATGGAAGCATGCGCCAAAGTCATGAGGAACCACGAAGAAATGATCTGCTCCTTCTGTCCGGTTCCAATAAGGCCAGTTTGAAGATATAAGCTGGATAGCACTTCTCATCATTCGTGGTGACTTGAAAGGTAAGGGAAGGCCATTTGGGGTCAAGTCACAGGTAGTGTATACTGGGGTATAAAACCAATCAGCTTCTTCAGGATTAAGGGTCCGAACAGGGCTAGATAAAAGAAACCGGTGCATAAAGATCTCGGCAGCAAACATATGGTTGAGGCATCTTGGGTCCTTTTGCAGAATTTTCTTATTGTATTTGCTTGGAAGTTCATAAACAAAGACCTTCAGCCTGCCCACTGGATTGTCTTCGAGTACATCACCAGCACTACCTACAATTGGCCCAATCATAACAAGTTTAACAGTCTCATCTTTTTAGAAAAAATATGTATTCTGATTGTAAAACAATAATCAAAAAGAAAAGTAAGCGATATGTAATTAGTCCCAGTTTATCTCCTCAATGAGATTTGTTTCATTAGGTGTTTGAGAAATAGCGGAGAAGGCTGCTTGCTAGAACCTTGAAAGTTAAAGCAGACTGGTATGTGCAGGTGTGTTTTTGTGTTGACATTACCAGATAGATCTCTTCTTTTACTCTACCCAACTATGGTTGCTTCCCTAGTGCTTCAACTCCAAGCAAATGCTACAATTTCAAAACTTTTACATCACCAGGGTGATTAGAGAAGGAAGCATTTAAATGTCATCAACCATAAAGGTATCTGAGATCCAAATTTTAATTTATGTTAGGTATCTTATCTCTTCCTAGTCAATGGAATTTTCCTGCATTTGCAAAATTATCCTAGAAGAGTAGAAGTATCATAAGGAATGAGAACTTGATTCTACGTAAATAGCAATTAAAGGTAAGTCATAACCCTCTAATTGGAGAACAAGTTAATTTCGGCATAATTCAGAGAACCTCGAGATGAAAATATACTACTGTAGTGACATAACTATCAAGTCAAAGGTCCTCAAGATTTCTAACACAATCCCACCAACTTGACTTATTCAAAGCGAAGCTTAAGTAGCGCCACAAGGAAAATTGAGAAGCAGGAAACAAAGTGGGAAAAGGAGAAGGAAATAGAGGATTTACTTATCTGCAGGATTCATATCTTACACCTATAGCTATATTGGAGAATCAATATAAAAAATGCAGAATAATCAGAAAATTTAGCCTTTACTCCTATCATATCTAACCTAATGGTCTGATGAAATATAGTGCTCCAATAGGGCATCATTTCAGTTACAATGAACAATGTTACCAACTCCTATTTCCTTTGCTCCAAGCAAAGCTAATCATGAAGAACGGCCATAGAGCACCTCAAAAAAATATGCTTTATGCTCTTATGTGCCTCAGTGTGACCTGACTTCCGACATTTATAAAACAATCCAGGATTGTAAATGCTAGTGGGAAATCAGGGAGCAAGTAAAAGCTCGTAGCCCCATTTCATAGGCATTATATGCTTCTTCCAAAATCACAAGCTAAATTGCTATGGTCCCCCTCAAGGAGTTAGTGAAAAATGAATCATCTAAGGGGAAAAATTAAGTAGTAATTTACGAACTATTCTCCTTAATATCCCTTTCCTATAGAGAACAAAATCCGATATTTTCATTGAAGATTACAAATGGCGTGAGTCTGGCTACTTGATTTCAAAAGAAAGCTTGAGAAACAATGTTTTATGAGTAGACAGTGGACAAAGTAGGATGTAAAATTCTTCTACTGAGCAAAAAAGTCAGCAACTTGTACGAAAAATCCTAATAACCCCCAATCTGAATTAGATCTTAACTGAAGTCAAATGCTAAAAAAACACAGAAAGCCGCTGAAAAACATAAATTGAAATGACTATAACAGGTAGATCGAAGAAATGACCAGAATCAAAACCACCAATGAACGCAATGCAAGAAGATAAAGCTAATTATTGATACAAAGCTAATTAAACCAACAGAGATGGATATAGTCAACTCAAAGAAAAGTTACTGGTGGGACAAGCTGAAGAAATTAAAAAGGATAAATCAAATAAATACTACCTGAAATTCTCTCAGTAGGTTGATTCCCGCCCCGCTGCACAGCACCACTTCTACAGAGAATAGCAGCAAAAAGGATCCAAAGAAAAACCAAATTGCAAGCATTCATTTTTGAATCCCCACAACGTAATTTCTGGATTCTCACTCACAGGCGCGCAGGAAGAAGGAAAGGTTTATACAAACATGGTCTCAAAAGACGAGACGAAGAATGAAAGCAAGTCAAGCTGATTTAAGATGACGGTTAAGACGTCGCAAGGGAAAGTGGTTGTGGGAGATTTCTTAGGATTTGAGCTTGTGAGGCTCAGCTAGAAGAAAGGGATATGGGTTCTTCCCAGCAGCAACGAGAGAGACAGATTAGATGCACCCACAAAAAATTATTAGAAGAAAGAAACGGATTTGCTTCGAAGAAACGAGGAAAACGAGTTCAGCGATTCGATGAAAGAAAAAAAAAATAAAATAATGGAAATGATTGACGATTGATTATAGAAGAAGAAGAACCTAGCTGGAGTAGCAGAATTTGCAAAATTTCTAGTTTGATGAGCAGTCCATCTCAGACTACCATAAAAGCATGAACACGCCACAACCCAACCATGCTACACTGTTGTGCTCGATTTGCTTTCATTTACTATTGCAGAGGTGTCACCCATTTGTTACATTTTTTGTATGGCAAAAAGGAGTGAAATAAGTTCCCATTTTCATATTAGGATGCCACGATGACTTATGAGATTGTCCCATATGAACATGCAGCTACGACAGAAGAACAATTTTTTTTAATAATCAATAATGGGATAGTTAGTTAAAAAAGTCCAAATGTGAGTCGTTTTTTCGAAAACTATCGCAATAAATACATCAAAGTTATACTGTACCAAAAAAAATACTTTTTTTTACCAACATTGTACCAAAAAATACTTAAAAATCATCACCAAATTTGACAATATATTTTGACTTTTAGCTATGGAGAAAGAAACAATCATTTTGGTGACTATATGCACTTTTTTATTGGATATAATTTTTTTAATATATTATATTTAAAAAATATAAGGTATTTTAATACTTTTTGTAAGTAATTAATTAAATTTTTTAAAAAATATTCTTAATAAATATTCAAACATGACGTTAACATATTTATATGAGTATTATAAATATTTTAGCCAACAAGTTTTAGGAAAACTATGGGCTTTTTTGACAATCCGTTTTAAGAATAGTTTTTTATTTTTCAGAATAACAAAATAAAAAAATCTATTTAATAATATATTTTTAAAAAGTATTTTGAAGAATAAAAAAATAAAATATTATTTTGAAGAATAAAAATAAAAACATCTTTTAAGTGTTTTAGAATTATTATGCAGAATAAGAAAAAAATACTTATTTTATTATTTTTTTATTCTCAAAACATATTTTACAAAATACTAATTTTTAAAACAATAAAATAAAAATAATTTCAAACTAACCCTATATATTGTCAAACTATTCCATGTTGGAGTTTTCATTTTTTTTTTAGGAAAAATTATATCTAGATTTCATAGAAGATTACCTAGAGATCTTATAAAATTCATAATACTCTTAAGTCTCAAATTATACACATTTGTAACTTAATTAAAAGAATTAATATCAAGCAATGACTATTTATAATTTGTTATTATATGTTGTTATTTTTCTTTACAAATTATAAATGATCATTGTTTAATAATTAATACCTTTATTCAAGTTGTAAATAAACAAAATTTAAGATTTAAAAGTATTTTATAAATCTCATGAGACTTTTTAATAATAAGCTCCTTTATGTTGGGTCTAGATGTAGCTTTTTTCTTGTTCTTTTTAACTCCCGATTATTATAAAGCCTTTTAACTTTAATGTTCACATCAATTACCTCTAAAATTGATTGGAGTGTAACTTTAAAAATTATCCAAGAGTCAATGTTGTGTTTGATAATTGAGAGAGGAGAAAAGGTTAAAAGAAAGGGCAAATAATAGTTAGAGATTATATAAAAACATTAATAATAATTATAGACTATAAATTATTGAAATCTCAATAAAAAAATATGATCCTTATTTGAATTTAGAAAATAAAAATAATCAATTGAAAAATTAACAAAATATAATTGGGATTATCTGCAACATTAGTTAAAAATTTATGAGAATCGGTTGTGAATCTTGATTTTTTACTATCAATATACATATAAATCACTTAAAAAATCAAGAAAATACACTCAAATTATTTATAACTAGTGATTTTTTTGTTATCAATATACAAATAAATCTCTTGAGAAATGTACAAAATACATTTAAAATTATTTATAATGTTAGTTAAAAATTTACAAAAATCAGTTGTCAATCATAAGTCAATCACTTATTTTTTTTAATTATTGCTTGAAAAATCAACAAAAAATATTTAAAAATCTTTATAGTGTTAGTTAAGAATTTATAAAAGTTCATTATGAATCTCAAGCCAATTAGTAAAAGATAATTTATTACAAATAAAGTTCATAATCTTTTATTTGACTTTTAATAATTCAAAATATATAATTGTCATTAATGCTCATATGAGGTCCCTAATTGTAATAAAAAAAATAATTTATTACAAATAAAGACCATAATTTATTAATAGAATTTCAACAATTCAAAAGCTATAATTGTCATCAATATTCATATAAGGTCCCTAATTTTCATTTTTCCTAAAAGAAAAAGAAAACGAAATATCCATTGTATTATATTATCATTATCATTATTTAATAAAGTTTATTTATTTGTATTATTTTCAAATATGAATGCTGTTGTTATTTTTCCGTAATTTATATATTTTTATTAATTTTTTAATCACATCAAATATCTCTAAAACAAGTGTGTTCCATCATTTACAAAAAAATCCTTCCACCGCTCCTTTGTTTGATACAAACAATTTTTAATTGGAAGAATGACAGAATGATCTCCTTGAAATATAAAAAGGGAGAATCACGTTCAGAGCCTCTGAAAAGAACAAAAATTATAGAAAGGGCCCAATATATTTTGAATCTTCTTGAAGGCCCAAAGCACCAAACACTATAGTGATATTAATTTCTCACATCAAATAATGAAATTGTCCCTTATTTGACAAACTGAAACCATCAAGACTATCTATTACAAAGAACTTAAAGATCATTCCTCTCAACCTCATAATATTGTCAATGTAGTTAGAGCTTGTTTTCAAGTAACTCATAAAAGGTGAGCTTGTGCGTACCTAACATATATAAATAAAGGTAGCTCTACTAACATAATTTCTAGCATCATTGAAGTTTGAATGGTTAATGTTATTTAAAGGGTATCAAGCGATTTTTATGCAATTCCAACTACATCTGGTATTATCCCTGAAAAATGATGTTTTAATTCGCTAACAATGCTTCAATGAAAAAAAAAAAGTTTGGATTGTAAGTCTAAAAATTAATTAGTTCTAATCCCTCCATGGAGAATTCAAAATTAAGAACTTTTTGCAATATAAATATCAACCCTTCATTCTGCAATCATTGAAGTCCATAAACTTGTTTATACCAAATCAATTATTTTCTAAAGTTTAGTTATTATCTAAAAGGCTCAGGACTAGCCCATAAACCTATTTGTATTATTCTTTTTTTTTTTAATTTTTAAAAATTAAAATTTTTAATTATAATATTTCATATTCTTTTTTAAATACAAATTATAGTGTTTAAAAATTAAAAATAAATAATAAAAATTTTAATTTTTAAAGTATAAACATATATTCTATAGTATAAATTTAACTTAAAAGTAAAAAATATTTTATTCTTGAATGGTGAAAAAAGGTTCTAAATAGGCAGTGCAAACTTGTTTTTTCAAAGCTGGGTTAATTATTTTTAAAAATGTTATTTTTTTTAAATCCAAATCCTCATAAACATATACTTAAACGAGTAGCCTATCATGCTCTTGTTGAAAATTGTATCTTAAGATCAATCATTATATTATGAACATTATTACTTAATGAATTTCTCTTTTATTGTCATATTAATTGCATGTTCGTTGTGGTACTTAAAAAGGTACAAGATGCTAGCACGACCCACCATAAGAAAGTTATATGGTATAAGTTATAAACTTATTTCATATGTAACTATGTCACTAAGCCCTTTAACCTGATATCATGATGGATTCCTACATGATAACTATTGAACTTTGACATAGTCAAAAGTTATCCTTAACTAGTTGATTATAAATGCTATGATTGAGTTTAATGATCTTCATGAAGAGGAATATAAGTGATTAAGATGGAAGTTATCCCTCACATTAATTGAAAGATATTACTGAGCCTCTCAATAAGTAAGATTGAGAAAATGTATGACCATACTATAATGAAAAGAGTTTTTCCATTACTATAGTCAATCCATTCAAAGATCCAAAAAGTAATGGTCAAGTAAAGCAGAATAATAATTTCATGTCTCACACTTGATCAAAATATCGTGTGACAAAAGGGATGTAATACGGTTGTATGATAGATTACATTAGATCATCAATCATTATATGAATTGGTAGTCGTAATGTCTTGTTAGAGATCACTTGTTACTTGTGGACTAGTAGCGTTATTGACTTACTTCCAACTCTATATAAGCCTACCAGGTCGCACATAAAAATAGTCTAACTTGAGTTATAATGTCTAAGTTCATTGAATTAGAAATATGTCTAAATTTCATGAATGGAATGCTTTATTTAGGATGAATGAATTTATATGTATGTGTGTATATGTATGTATTTGAATATTTATCTGATAAATATTTATGTATATATGTATATGAAATATGAAATTCAAAATATAATAGATATATGCACGCGCTTACGTATATATAATATGTATATCTGATATATATATTATATTATTGTGTTAGTTTTAAATTTAGTTTTATATAATAAATTAAATTTAATAACTAATATGATATAAAAAAATATCATATCAGTTATATAATTTAAATTTATAATATAAATTTAAATTAAATATAATATTATAGATTTAGTTTATAAAATAAATTTAATTTAATTTCGTTAGCTACAAAAAACCCTAATCTATATAATATAGATAAGGGACGAATTTTCTATGAGAAAGTCTCTTGATGGCAAAACTTTAAGAGCTATGAAAATATCTTAAAAAACAAAGAAATGTCTGATTGATGGATGGTCAACAGTGCCATTTGAAAAGCTCTTAGTCACATCAAACTTTTCAAAGAAATTAAAATGTAGTTGAGTACACCTTATGTTATCAAATCCCAAGAGAGTAAGCTTAAGCAACCAAAAATAATTCATAAACCATTTTCACAAGTTAAAAACAATGTTAGTTTTGAAAAGAAAATTCAAGGTTCAAGGTGTTTATGATTTTTGAAATTTTTAAAGGAAAAATGGGGACTAAAATAAAATTAATTTCATCAAGCAAACAAGTGAATTCTTCAAGGTTTAAATCCACCTTCACCATTATAGAGTCATAAGTTCAATTTATTCAATTCTTACAACTTATTTAATGTAACATATTAAATTTTAATTCCTAGATTAACTAAGCTTAATTATGATAATTAAGTAAGTTGACGTGGTGTGTAGCTAGAGAGGTCTAATAATTAATTTTGTTTGTGTTTTATCCTTAATTATAGGTCTGGTGTAAAGTCAGGTCATCCAAGCATTGAAAGAAGAAGTAAACAAGGATGTAG